AAAAAAAAAAAAAAAAAAAAAAAAAAAAAAAAAAAAAAAAAAAAAAAAAACTCCGAGAATAATCGATTACATAATCATTTGCTTCGGGGGAAAGGAGAAAACTGAGCCACCCCAAAGTCGCGAAGTGTAAGTTTATTTACCAAACGGATTTTTTATTTTCGCGGTAATCCTCGGAAAACCCCCCCGAAAAGAAAGAAAGAAAATAAAAGTCACGTATTCTCTTGCGCATATACACACACGTAGCGCTCCTTTACCCGTATATACGTAACGCGTATAACCAAGCCAATCAACTGTACATTTGTTTTTTTTTTAAATCATTTAAAAATTTCGTTACACGTTTCGGTGATTGTTGGATATAAAAATCAACCTTTGGGCCACCACCGGCCTTGAGAGCCCAATAACCCCACTCGTGATGGGTATAACTATAAGAGCTTGCAGGTGGAGGATGAGGGGAGCAAGATTAACCCTCACTTCCACACAAAAAACAATCATCCAACAGACATATGTATGGAAAAAAAACAAAAAAAATGTTATACTTACGGCATGACATCGGGACTCCGAGGTGTGTAGACGGTGCACGCACGGCCATGTATATATATGTTAATTCACGTAGTGCTTGTTATACGTGAAAAACTTGGAGGAGCGAGACGAGTGGACGCGCGGCGGTGGTAAGTATCGTACAATCACAGACACACATCGGCCGTGGCACGCGACGTTGGGCACAGGTATGCAGCCTCACTGGCGTCGACCACAGTAACCACGAGATGCTGGGGCACGTGTGCGCGATAACAATGTGTCACGGCAGCGTTCCCTCATCTGTTTGTCGACCTCGATCGAAAAGAGAGAGAGAGAGGGTAAACCGAAAGATCGTGTTCAGCAGCCGCGGGGGGATGATTCTCGCCGAGGCTCGGGTGGCTACTGGTCGCGCGCTACCGAGGCACAAGGATGGAGGTGTACGCATACGTATACCCGTCTGCACCCTCTACCTCCCCTGCGCTTTTAAACGCGAGTGTGTGTACGCGAGCGCAGCCTCTCCTCTCGTCTGGACCGCTTGTATGTATATTATGCACACTTACACAGCTGTGCTGGATGGGAGGCGCAGGCGCCCTCGAAGAGCAATTCCTCTACCTATATATATATATGTACACATGGTTGTGGCGTCCTCGTTTTCGTACCCGACAACGAGGGGGTGGTTTTCTCTTTCGCTGTACCTTATACCACTGCTGTGGTGTACATATATACATACATACATACCGTTGATAGGAGGGCGGGGGGGAAGGACACGCGCGCCAATACACACACGGGCACTTTTGCTTCTCGCCGTGTGGACCTCAAAGATATAACACATATATATGTATAACATATACATATGTGAGCCTCAGGGTTGGAGGAATAATTGGATGAACAAAGCAACGAATGGCTGTCGCTCCCTGTATGCCGTACAGTCGCAACCGAAAGCACACACCTATACGTGTAGTAATATAATACCCGAGGAGCTATTGCTTGTTTGTTGTAGTTATATTTTGTTGAATTTTCATGCAAGGAAATGCATGATTCATAAAGTTGGAAATCTCAGGGCATTCTATACCCTCCATTGGTTCTCGCGATGCTCCATGGGGTGATCCTATGTGCCCCCGTTATCCCGTTTCACGCCTGCGTGTCGTTTGTACTTGTGCGCGAGCCACTTGTTCGTTATCATCTCTCTGCAGTGCCGTGCCCTCGTTGCCAGCCGATATGATCACGAACGCGTATAAATTCTCACCAAGCGGTTGGGCCAAAACGAAGGATGTGTGTGTACATAATACACCGGCGGAGTCGGCGTAACGAGAGAGAGAGCGCCCATGAATTATTTAATCAAAAAAGGATGTAGGGCCAAAGGGGGGAGGGTGGGGCGATAAGAGCTAATGGATGTGCCCACGGAGACCCCGCGCTGCATATTGTATGTCGTTGAATTCGTAAAGCTCCGTTTCCTTTTCTGGGGATGAAAGATCTATCGCTTCCTATATAAGTAAAGGAT